CTATCGCAACGTAGTCCCACGTTAAGACCATCCACGGCTACCACGCCCCATTGTGGCTATGTCCCAAAAGGCTGAAGAAAAAATAAGTGTTATAGTGTAATTTAGAAATATTTTTTTGATGCACAGGAAGTTTCCTAAATCAGCCCAGACCGCCCGAAACATATACTTGCATATTATTGAGATTATTATAACGCCATTTTCAGACCAGTCGAGCGAGTCTTGAAATGTTTTTTTAAATATATAAATTGCACAAACTTGCTTTGTATAGAAGTGGTCATACAAGACGCTTATTTAAGTGAAACACCAGGCAGATACGTTGTCTTGTTTTTGTTGTTGTTCGAAGTCTCTGTTGCATTCGTGTTTTGTTCAGGTGGAACTTCCAAAATAACAAAGTTTTTCAGTGCCAAATAATCACTTGTTTGTTGTCTTGACTTACGAGTAGATGTAATTTAAAAAAAATACAAGCAAACCTCGAAAAGTATATTCTTTTCTCCGCGAAATTCAAAACGCACATATGAGTATCCCTCGACTAGCCAAGTGCCCGGGGCTCTATACACACTCGGACTTTAAATTATACTAAAGTGTGTAATTGTGTTGATTTTGCGGACAATTGAACGCATGGCCAAAGCAACATAGTATTTGATAAAATTAATCCGACGAAATGATGATGTCACAAAATTATAGTGCCTATAAAGGTCTTATTGGCGGTTATACTGAAAGAGCATGGATAAAAACAAAAGAAATTAAATTTACGCTGTTTGAGGGCATGTTCTTATGATATTTGGAATTCAATTATCAGAGGTTGCTCGGTTAATTCTGAATAATTAACAAAAATGATGTATTAACTTATGTAATGACTGGTTACAGAAAGTTGAAGATTGTATAATTATTATTTTCAAATACCCATACTACGAAAGTATCATTTCATTGTTTTTCAATAATGTTATTTATATTTTGTTTTTCGAAGTATCATGGGAGTTGCGACCATGCGTGCATGAATTCGTTAATACATTTGTTTTAATCTGGGATATAGATATAATTGTTTAGTTTTAATTTTATTTATTATTTAATCAATTCATTTCAATTGGTATACCGCCCAATTACAATAACTAGACGGAGAGCAAAATAAAAAATATCAACTTAAAAACAAACAAAAGCAATGTAAAGCCCAATAAAATCTACATTACAATTAGAAATATCTGTGCTAAAAAAGCTAAAAATTCACGTTTTTTACGCGAAAAGTAGTTCTGTGACGATATTTGTTATGCAACATAAATCAAACCATAGTGTAAAAATCACGGAAAACTAAATATCCTGGAAGTAAAATTAGGAAATCAGGTGACACAACCGGCAATTACACGCAAAATTTAAGGAACAATGCCACTAGTTTATTTTTAAAATTTGCGCATATGTGACGTATGTCTACAATTATTCGTTTTAGTATAACTCACCAGTATGTTTTTTTTATACATATATATACTGCCAATCTTGGGATATATCTAGATATGGCCAAGTAAAAAAACTTATACCATTTTTCACTATATGCCACGGACGAAAATTTTGAGATATTTCCTTACATAGGAAACAGTGGTAAAGAACGTCCTAAAACTTTTTGTTCGCGGTTTTTCCTTAACCGAGTACAGAGAACCCATGTTCCCATGTCATTTTTTTGTTCATTCTTGTTATATAACATGCTACTTATGTAGAAATATGACATTATTTTCCCCCATTGAGTATCATTCTACCTTAAATCCAAATCATGCTATGTATAACGATAGTTGGACATTTGAGTGAGTTATATGGATCGAAATACAAAACATTGCACCGTTTATTGACTCAGTTATTATTTGCCTTCACCACAATGAATCCCGTCATGCATTGCCGTTCCCAAATTTTGGTTTGAGTGAGCGCTGCTAAACTTACCTAGCCTAAGTAGTACGTAAAGTTCGATGTTCGCTCGGACGCAGCGGGAACGCGAGTAAACTACAGTCGCCCAATAAATTCAAATGTGAATTTCAAAAGTCTAATGGTTATTAATCAAGAGATCTGCGAGATGCAATATTATCCTCGGTGGTCGAACAAGAGAATCTCATGCATGATTCGGTGATTTGATGACACCGTAAGATGCTAAAAACACACTGCAACCACAAACGAAGCTACGGAGCTGCTCTGTGTTGTTCGACGAATGGCGAATATCATCGACGTTGCATTTGTTACACGGACACTTTGAATAATGATATACTCAACTCCCGACGAAATATACTCATTCGACGAAATGTTGTGCACCAGTCACGGCTTCGGATTCAATATACCGCCATATTAGGTATGGCACCCATATTGTTATAATTCGAAATCTCTCAAGCAATTAGATTACTATTTAAACACAGCACATGACCGGCTAAATATTACACAACACAATGATATTGTATTCAAAGGTACAGGTATCACGGGGAAATTCTTCTCATCGGGGTTCTCCACACGTGCCAGGGGCGGATATCGCATCTGTCTCTATGTCTCGTCTGCTTGAGGTGCGGGATCGGGAAAGTCACTTAAGCCTTACAGTCAAATAGACGCACACAACGAAAAACGTATCAACTCTCGTCTTTAGTCGGTCAGTCGAGTACTCTATAAGACACAGCGCCCTGGGGAAAAGTCCCCAAGACTATCGCAAGGCTGACTCAAGACTGCGTCGCTTGTGGTGTGGTGTTCTCGCCAAGGCCAACTAAAACTCTTTTATTCAGTACTGAACCCGTCATATCTTTTGAATAATCGTTCACTATATTAGTAACTGCGAATACCCAACTGTCAGAAATAGTAGTCCGGATAGCGACGGTTATATCGTAATTAGTTCCAATTGCCTAAATGATGACAGATATAACACAGCCATTCACTAGTAATCAGCTAAATAAGTCGGTCAACAGATACGCGAAAACTAATTCACCTGTAATCGAACACTGGCATTGGGAGTTTTTAACGCAAAATTCAGAACGTTTTAAAATTGTTAAAATTTATCAACAACGCATTTCGTCTTTTTTTTAGTATAAAATAACTTGACCAACATATTGGGGATGTACTCGATAATTTGCTTTCATCGGGTTCCGTGTCAAGTCGGGCATGGCTGGGGATATGCGCCCTCGCCGGCGGAATTAGGCTCATACGCATTTTTTTCCACCCAAAATTATTAGTGTATCATTTTGCACATTTTTGTGTGTTTTTTACTTTAATATATTTATTAATTTTGTATCCAACTGAAATATTTGGGAGTGATTTCCTTTAAATAAAAAAATAAATAAATAAATAAATAAATAAATAAATAAATAAATAAATAAATAAATAAATAAATAAATAAATAAATAAATAAATAAATAAATAAAATGAAATTGTTGGAATTTTGAGACAAATTACAGTTCATGAATAGACTACTGAGAAATGTATAACATGTGTGTGATTAAAATTTATTTTCATTCAAAAAATCAGTAAAAGGAAAAAAAAAGCATAACATGCACCATTAATATACACCCAGGGTTGTATACAGCGGAAGAATACCCGGATGGGAAATCTGGCATGCCTTCTGGATTGATATCGAGCTGATTTGAAAAAAAAAATCTCTTTTATCGGAGTTCGTGATCCGAAAATGAAAACCTATTCATCGAATACAGATCTTTGCACTTGACGCAGAAAATGGTACACATACAAACATCGGGTAACGCTTATTAACATGTGACGTCATATCTATTTTTAGAAATGCTTTTTTCCCCCAAAACTGCTGATGTGTGCATGTACATATGCATCAGTTAGACTTGTTTATCTAAACGCACATTTCTGCGCATGCGCAATGAGCCACATTTTCAACGTGTTCCGACTTGTTTTCTGTACCCATCACAGCAACACATACACGCGCACACTTCTCCCAGCGCTGTCCTTTTAAATCGTGGGTAAGATATTGCAAAATTATTTGTATTCTTTGTCAGATGTATTTCAAGACTATTTAGAGTCTCGAGAGAGCTTTGCGTTTAACATTCGCAATACATTCAGTTATTTCGTTTGCCAGGACTGAATCGTCGGAGTGTTACATCAATCACATATATACAAACTTATAGCACAGCGCAATCGAGATGTTTAACACATAATACAGTAAACTGTTTTTTAAATATCAAATTAATATTTTTTATATGAATTTCTTCCCTATGTTAGATGTTAATGTTTTGTCTTCCTGATTTTCTAGTTCCTCCGCAACATTGCATTGTGCCGTGGAAGGCTCCATGACCTCGGGTCGTCTTTCACCGCTTTACAACCAGGGATATGATACGTCGGGGATTTCCCCAGTTCGAAATTGCTGACTTGGTTAATGCTTCAATTTAGATATGAGTCATTCACTAAAGCTGTTATAGACAAATAAACGTAGTTTTGTTTGCAACAATACCGATCCTGTCTCTTACAAAATATTCCGTATTTTGTTATGTTTATTGGTCACTCTATCAGTAAATCGTACGCGGATCTCCAAGGGTTTTCTACTCACGTCACCGATTGTGAAATTGTAAAGGTTACATATTTCTAAAACTACTATTCGATGTAACGTCGGGACATAACCGTATGGTGGGATATTTTAATTACCGTGTTTTCCACGTCAAAAGATGATTTCGGAATTTCCGACTCGTTTGGCTTTCAATGTGTGATATCTGTGTGGATAATTCAGCATATTGAATCATTCTATCAACAACCAGAGTGCGAAATGGTCTCATTATTTTGTCCAAAGTTGTCTTACAACCTTTATTTCGTGTGAATGTAAAAAAAAAGTGACGTTTGAGTGGAAAATATATATGTGGAATGTTTCGGGAACTTGAAAACGATACGCGTCGGTTTGTCATATTTCTAATACAGGACCAGTCAGGAATGGCGCACTGTGAGAACGCAAGTTATACTGAGAATTAATCCGTAATGTGGCGAGTGAGAGAGGATATTGTTCCACTTGTTTTGAAATCGTTCGTATCTTGTGGAATACGATATAGTCTTGGATTAACAGAAAATCACCGTGCATCTTCACTCACCGTGACGTATACTCGATTTTTATCTCTGCGGTTAGACTAGAGCAATGTGTACTTTTTTCTGTCTCGTAATATCACTTGTTTTTATTTTATCTTTATTGCACAGGAAATAAGGATGAGCCAAACAGACCAGACAACATCGACGGATTTCAGCGATACGAACTTATTCGAAGCTCTCGAGATTTCCCCCGATACGATGATGCACGTGGACATAATGCCGCTGATCAAAGACGGATTGAAGTACACAATCCAAGCAAAGCGCAGAGCTCAAGGCCTCGCAGAACTCTCAGTTGAACAAAAACGCGTTCGACCCGAAAAGGTATTGTATGATCCTAACTTGAACGTGGTATATCCGTTATTCTCAGCCTTTTCTGTTTCTTCATTTTTATTTTGTGAAATTGTAATGCTACTTTATCAATCATTTAAACCTGTGAAATCAACGTTTAAAATATCATTTCTCTGATTTGCTGGCATTGTAGAACAAAGTACTTACGAAAGTTAAATTGACAACGTCACTTTTATATGTATTGTCACTGTGAGCTTTTCTGGCTGTACCTGTGATTATATAATTATGATCTCCGTTGAATATTTTAGCTAACACCAGCAGAAGCAGAAAGACGGCGAATTCGCAGAGAAAGAAATCGAATCGCTGCCACCAAATGCCGGAATAAAAAAAGAAGTCAAATTAATACACTTGACGAGGTTAGTCCCGCCTGCTAATTAATTATGCTTTACTTTGTCATGTCGCTTTATGTCATGAGACAACACGTTGTGTTTGTGTTACGCGATGGGACATTACATTACGAACGCTGTCACTTCATATTACTTATGAAATTTCATAGTACAGTGGCCCCTCGCTAAGTCGCGGGTGTCGGGGTCCGAGTAAAAACCGCAACTTATCGAGGGTCGCGACTTACCGAGTCTCGTGAAAGGGAGAGGAGGGGGGGGGGGGTTATGCATTGAAAATGTATATAATGTACTTTCATATCATGTCTTCATAATGTTGTTACATTACTTAATATTACATCACGTTACGTTTCAACATGTTCGAAAGCTCGCATATAAATAAATCATTTTTGTTTATATGCAGGAATCAAAACGACTCGAAGGCCTGAATCACAAACTGAAAGAAGAAATCGGTAAATTACAAATTGAGAAGAGCTTTTTGTCAGATACTCTCCAGGCGCATTTGTCTATTTGCAGTCTAACCCAAGCACCAGCAATTTACGACCAATGACGAGCCTCAGAAGATGCTTAGTAAAACCAACTGTGGTGAACGCCCTCAACGACTTGCGATCATAAAGGAGTACTCCAACATGTCCAAGGGGCGCGTTGACGGCTCAGGCCGTCTTTCTAATTCTAACTGACACTGGTGTGTCTTATTATGTATACAACCAATAATTGATAGACACATTTTGACAGAAAACAGTGTAAATATCACACCAGACTTTTCTTGTATTTTGCAAAATATGGTGGAAGCTTTTATATTATATTATCACTTTTGTAATTTTAAATAAATAACTCTGTTGTACATACATTTTACTCCCAGCAATATGGATAATATTTGAAAGTAATTGCGAGGTTATTTACAAGAGTGTGTCTGATTGGCTGTCTAACCCTCACATCTAACTTCCAAGCCAATCATAGAGCAGCTTGTTTGTTATCGAGTTTTATGGACACATCAAATCCTGCCTTGTACATATGGTACGAACAGCAGATTATTTTATGTTAAGCAAGCTATGTCCGATTCACTGAGACTTATTTGCTGACTGTGGCCATGTAGACGTCATTTCGATAGATGCTGGATTCACTATTCTAAGACGTATTCTAGAACTTTTCTAATCTTCTTAAAGCGGGAATGTCGTCGCCTGCGCGGGAATTGAATCCCAAGCGATAACAGCACATGCTAAAAACGCAAAGGCTTATAGGCAGACGCTTGTTAGTAAGCAATGAAAAGCTATGACCATCTGACGCATGTGCAGGTGACGACTCTTCCGCTTTAACATGATTAACTATTAGTTTCCAAAACAGCATTTCTTTTCAAACTACATGTATGTCAAAATTGTGTGTTTATTTCCAGTGATTAGCTAATGATAGGATTCGATTAAGTGCGAAATTAAGTTAAGTTTTACACATATCTATTTATTGCTCACTTCAAGTTGTTACATTCGTCTGTACTGAACACGTTGTTGCCTTTATTGTGTTTCTGCTTGTGTACACGTACACATGTCATTCGTTTTACCTTATTAGTATAAAATGCCTTTAGAAATAAATGGTATGTACATACCAAAACGCGCAATTCCTGCTGTTATTGTTTTCTAACTATGACTTGACGCCTTGTCCGTCATAACGTCGTGGTTCAAAATAGCATTGTTAAAGGGCGGCAGTCGTCGTGCTGTGTCCTGTTCGATATGGGACTCAAAGCGACGTATACACTGCGTGTAAAATACATTGTTTATTTACATGAAATTCGAACACGCGCTGCGCGACGACCACTGCGCTTTAAATAATATGAGGAGAATTTGGATAGTATGTAACATGCGACCCTTTTGAAGGAATAAAGATTAACTTCGTTCAATGTTTGAAAATAAAGGTCATAAATGCTCCAACCTTAAGACTGTGTACCACACTTTTCATGAACACCAAAGGTTCGGTCACCGGGACGATCATATATAATATGGCTCTAGCGCCAGGCGAGAAATGACTCGAATAAACTAAGCGTCCGGCAGAACAAAATATGTATTAAACATGTCCCTGAAATGAACTAAATATTGTCGCATTGTCGGCGTCATTATGAAATATACATAATTAAGATTGCCCGAAATGTGAGTCGTAAATCTCCTTCAATCCTCAGGCCAGAGGGCGTATCATGGCGGTCACGTGATCACATCGCACCGGGAAGCTCGGCTCAAATAATTTATTTGCAATGGAAGGCCGGAAAATAGAAGAAACGCTGACATAGTGTGGAGGAGGCGGTACTGCGATATTGACGGTGTTTTCAGAGTTGGCGATATGTACACATTCTCGGCCGTCGGCTGCCCCCACTCACATTGAAGTGCTATAATTATATGTGCCTCCAAAAGAGGTCCCAAATTCACAATTTCTGTCTGAAAAGGGGTTTGTTATTTTACCTTCAAGTTGTCTGTCTGAAAAGGACTATCCTTTTTCATTATCTCTGTCTAAAAAGGGGTACATATTTTCCAAAGACTGTCTCTAGAGCTTGAGTGATCCAGCAATCAGGAGAATGAAGCTAATTTTTGTCTTTCTGTAACTTCATTTCGATCGTCAAAGTCCTTCTCCAGAAGTCCACCTGCTTTTCCCTTGGTACCATGTATGCTTACTGTCTGGAAAGGGGTGTCAAATATCCACAGTTTGTCTGAAAAGGGGTGGGCAATTTGAGTTTATTTCTTTCTGATAAGAGGTAGGGGTTTCAAACAACCAGCTACACACCCTTGTCAGTAATTTTTGCAAGTACCCCCCCCCCGGATTCTGCTATAGTACACTAGTTTTAGTTTATTGAAACACTTAAAATTCCTCAGAATGGTTATACTAATTACTAAAACACATATATAAAAAATACAAATTTTACAAAAATTACTATCTAAAGTACGACAATGGTTTTTTAAAAAATGGGACGGACGTAGGTGGGGCGGTCGCATATTTAATGCGCATGCGTACAACAACAATAACCTTCAGAACATGATTTCCAGTGCACAAGAATTTAACCAAATTGTGCCAAATTTGATGCTTAATTGAGATGCTTAAAGATTAATCAAGATTCTGGTCATTATTATTTTGTGTTTGGTTCACCTATTTGGTTCAAAACAGTGCGTATCCACCTCATTTTGTTAAGACGTTATAAGTAGAATGTAAATATCGTCCACTCTCACAATGTTGAGGATCCAGGGCTACGCGAGATCAAGACGTGGATCCAGCATGTAAAATATGTTGAATTACAAAAGCGCCCTCTACCAATGAAAGTGGCCAGTCGGTGGATTGAGCAGGGGAATTCCAAGACAGACTATTAATTCATCGTTGAAAAGTATATCTCCAACATTGTTTCTCGTGACAGGCTGGGTGTTGTATTGATACCGGACGCCAAAACTAATTTCCAAAGATCCGGGTTTCTTCACGTGTGGGAGCCGTCGATTTGCCCAGCGCCGTTCTTGAATAGTTGTCGCATCTTCATTTGCCGCTGGTTGACATGTAAATCACCCCAACGTTGCTAAGGTAACATATATACCATTTATTCTCGGGGCGGACATTCGGGCATTTTCACCGGTGAAAACAAAGGCTGAAAACTCTCAGAAAACAGTACTTTGGGATGGTTGTTGAGTCTCCCTGAACAGTGTAACAAGATTACCCCTGCGTGTGTAATATATATAAATTCGGTTGTTCATGATTACTTCAAAGTTGAGTTTATTTTATTTGTTCGAATTTAGCTATTTTCACCGGCTCGACCGGCGTTCCACATCAGCGCGCTCAGAGCCCATAGAAATACGTGGTACGGTGGTGCGCGTCTTACCATTGTGGAACGTCTTGTGACGTAGCTCCGCCATCGGGGGTAACTATATATATATATATATATGTATTAATAGTTTCAATAATAAGAAATGTGTATTATAACTGTTAAAATAATCTTCACTGTACCGTGGTCTTAATATCAATTTGTATATATTTTTCGTCTCTTGTCACGGTGGTTTACTGGTGTGCTGTTTAAAAGCTCTTTTCTCCCACCACGCCGAGGGTAAAATAAATATTTGAATAAGCCCAGGTTCTGTCTTCTAAATCGTTCCGTGTATATGTATGTGTTTGTACATTTTGCTATCACGTAAACAAACGCGATGTTTTCGCGGAATACGGAAAATTAGATACGACTCCGAACACAATCCCAATTCCCAATACGGCTGGGCTTGAAGATAAGAAAACAAAACATATCCAAAGGCTAAGAAATAAATTATTTTTAGTACAAAGGCGTGTGTGAGTATGGTAGATAACGACTCTGGTGCACACAACATATCATGTATTTGTAGTTTTATTCAATCATGTGGATTCTAGCATTCCCGAAATTGGTAATTGGACGGAATATATTTGTATGTGAAACACAGACCAATAACAGTAAAATATTAATAAACAATAAAATTTACAGACCACTCTGTTGAAAAAAAGAAGACTACGTAAATCTTTGAAGATGCTAGAAGAACCGACGAGTGCGTCATAAACCGACCACTTATCGTCCGTATTAAAATCCAGCCCGACACAAAAAACGGCGATTAATTTTCATCAGCTAGTTGTTTGTTGCATTACTGCGGGTATAGTATGCTAAAAATCATAATACAAGACACAGAAAATTATTTGTAATATCATAATAATGATATATGATAAAAATTTATAAGCAATTTATTGTTGTAATTTTATACATCCGAGCAACAACCCCAAGGGAGTTCTGCTCAGACAATTAAATCTTCGTCGCTATAGTAACGATTAATTATTTCAAGCATAGTTTCACTACGAGTTGACGCAGCGGTAAATATTGGATATTAACGCCTACGTTTGACGTCATGACATAACAAGGAATTAATACTTTTTGTGGAGAATGATATTCGAAACATCAAAATACGATTTCCTACTTGTGAAATCATCGGCGCGATATTTGTGTCATCTCATCGTCAGGGTAACCAAAGTAACCTTGAAGACTTAGTGGACAAAGTACGGTATGTATAAGGCTTGTGAATTGCGTCGAGGTTACTCTGGATGTACACTTTCTCAATACAATGCATATAGTCTCGCGTTTATATAAGTGTTTTGATGACGGATATGTATTTACTCCATCATACACAAAATATGACTTCCCCATGAAACTTATTATCAAAGAGGCAACGCGAATAACAACTTTTTAGTATTTTTAAAAAATTTGGAACAATAGAAACGCAAGTGACGCATGCGCCCGAATCATTACGTATCATATGCATGTGCACGTAATTCGAAGCGCATGCGCACTGGCGTTTTTATTGATTCGTAATTTTATTTTGTGGCCAAAACAACGTTTGTATTTTCCAATCTATCGACGACGAAATTTATCGACAAATAATCTCTAATGACACTTTCATTTTATTTTATTTGATTGAAAAAAAAATAAAAATGAAAAAGAACAGACAATTTCTTGGAAGTCCTAGGTGACGTTTTGTTCTATTCAAACTTTTCCGCAAATGTATTAACTCTCAGTTCATGTTCTTATGAATGGAACAGTGATGAGTTCTGAGAAGGCATCAACTGAAAAGTTCGGAAACATTGAAGTATAAGTGGACAATCGTTTTTATTTGTATTTTACCTAATTGTTATGCTTTCTCAACTAGATACAGGAGACGATGTCTGAAGGCGGAAACGGCGAAACGCCGGGAGGAGGTAGCCTGGCACAGCTCTCGAAAGAAAACAGGAAGTTGGTACGAAGAATTGAAAAACTGAAAACTGAAAATCAAAAACTTGAAAACGAAGTAACAATACTCCGAGAAGAGAACAAAATAGCATCTGGAATCCGAGAACAAGCCACACAGTACGAGATAATACTGAGCGAACTGAAGGAATTGGAAGACAGTAAACTCATATTGGAGGAACAGCTTCAATATGTAGAGTTTGATTTGGAATCCTTGAAGCAGGAAATGGCGATAGTTAAGGAAGGGTGCACGGATGCACAGGAAGTCAACAGACAATTATTACAGTATCGGGAAAACATGGAATTCGCTTATGAATTGGAATTATCAAATGCACGAGATGGAAATCGCGAGCTATCACAGCACATAATAATACTGGAATTCATACAAGATACGATAGAATCGTCTTTAAGTGACGCGCTTAGCCAACTGACAATTATGAAACTCGAAACAAATCAGTGTGAGGTACATCGGGATCAAATTGATACGCTGAACGCCTGTTTGATATCTTTGCAAGAGAGCGCTGAATGCAGACCCTCTCGCCCGAGGGCGGCGTCCAGCCAAAGTAATTCGGAGAAATGTGTAATATGCCATGACCGAGAAAGAACGGTTGAAATTCAACCATGTGGACATATCGTCATGTGCGACATTTGCGCCGCTCTGCAATACGAAACAAACGGAACGTGTCCGATGGACAGGGGCATAATCGATTCGATGAGAAATATCGATGAACCCGTTGAATGAAAACAACCAACCATCATCCAAGCCTCGACCGAATACTGCCGTTGGTGGCATGCTTGAGGATCTCGAAATGAGAACCTAATCTGACCTATGATGAGGACTTTGTCACGCTGTGTGGCGTGGATCGGCATGGACGGGTTCACGCTCTCTGCACGTAACAAGCATGTTTTTTTTTTGGGGGGGGGGGGTGGCCAGGGAGGAGACGTACCTTGATGTGAAGCTAGTTAACGAGGTGCCGTACGAGAGCGCCGGTTCTTTACTTTGATTTGACGTAGTATTTACCATGTCGTTTACCAAAGTCAGAAAATATCCCAGACTCGTTGAAATCTGTTTTTATACCACACGTAATTTACCCTGTTTGAATAAAGAAAGACATTTATCAATGGAAATATTCGGCCACTTTTTACTTTGAAGCCAGGGAGCGAATACGCTCGTTGATAGGAATGACGTCACGGTCGCTTCAACCCCAGCCTAGTAATACTTGCATTACTAGTCTGAGCTTCAACAGATACAGATGCATATTTAGTTATAATTAGGAATTGACCGTGAACACTTAGGGAGTACTAAACTGTGTAAATTATATATTCCTTCACAAAGTTTTAACATAAAAGCCTACTCATGAATTTAAATACCTAGAATTTATTCATTTTTTCTATAAATTGTACTTACGGGCTATATAAGAATATTGATTTAAAAAACTGGGGGTCATTTTTAGAGGATACTGGTCATTTTGTCAGTATTATAACCGACGCTTCTACCATAGGTTCCTATAGCAGAGATATTATGCCATATCTCAAATTGTAGGCTGTATTGTGAAAGATGGGATACTTTTCGTTGTCACGGTCCTCAATTATTTTAAAAATCCAGGTTATGGAATTGTTCTAAAAATAGCGGAAATTTGGAAATTATTAGAACAAGTTTCTCAAAATACTTCACACACACAGGAATGTTATTTCACGGTGCCACGTGACAATAGCTCCACGATTTTACATGATAATCCAATTGTCTTGTGATGTTGACACATTTTCTCAAAAATAATGATACTTCTGTCTTAAACAAGATTATTTACCAGGATGATGTGATGTTATTGTGTTTTATTTTTACAAATTCAGTTTTGTTTTTGTGAAATTGTTTGTAATGCTTGTGTCAGCAGTTACTACTATTTACCTTGCATGTTATGTCCACAAATCCCCCCCCCCTCAAGTTAAAAAAATTGTCACCCAAATTTCAGGTTCCATACGCCGTTCATAATACCTCGTCTGGTTATCAGTTTCTATTGGAGTGATCTTTGAGGTTGAAAAAATAAACTGTGTCAAGGTAATTGTCGTTAATGACACAAATTCCGTTCATGATAGTTCATGGCAAGTATTTCAGACCCTGCAGTCACTCAGTGGGGGTAGGTATGTGGATAGTCGGGTTGAATATTACATTAAAATTGGTTATATATTAATAAAAACACTGTGTGTACGTTTATGCATATTCCGTGATTTCTTTGTTGTAACACAATAAATATATGAACCAGGGGTACAATTAGTATTCATTTTTGTAAAAAAAAGGAAAATTAATTCCTCTACTACATCCTTAAAATACCATAACAAAAGAAAAGACAAATTATTTGTTTATGTTATATTATCGAAATCATCAACAACAACAACAACAACAACAACAACAACAACAACAACAACAAAACAAACGAAAAAAAAAGAAACGGCAGAGATCAGGGGTGCAAGTTAAATCATCATAATGGCCCCTGTGGTATGGTGTATGTGCCGTAACCGACAAGTGAACATGAACACCAAAAAAATTGGTGTCGAACTGGTGTCAAGAATACGTGAAGCTTAACTCATATGGCCTGTAATAACAAGATTACATCATATAACAGAGGCAGCGACGTGATCTGCTCACCACCTCGCGCCTAAGACGCGATCTTACTAGGGTGTCCGGGGCATGCTCCCCTTTAACATTTTTGAAATCTAGACCCGGTCCATCTGAAACGCTATTTCCTGCATTTTGAGAGGCAAATTTTGCAGACACAAAGGATTTCAGCTTGATTTTGGAGGGGTGACACCCCCAACATTTTTATCGAGGGGGCGACCGCTTCTGCCCCCCCGTACCGCCGCCACTGTACTGCGACGGAAATTCTATAGCGCACATCTGCCAATGACAATTCTCCGTTCAACATTCAGTTTGTTGTCAATACAAGTTGCTCTGTGTACCATACCGTGTATTATATATTAACAGACTTCCCTCAACATGTTGCAACTTGTTGATTGTAATGGAGACTATTCCTGAAACACGTTGCAGGTTGTTGTGGCACTCTGTCAGTTTGCAACGTTGCATGATGATACCCAGATCAACATATGTTATCAATGGAAGTTAATTCGTGTATCATGGATCTTAGTGGGATTTTGCGATCAAAAAAATTAAAAAAATAAATACCAGCAAATAAAATCGAATAAAAAAAAGTAAGATACATAAAAAACAAACATAAATTTAATTTGAAAAATTGAAAAAACAAAAACAAAAACAAATAAAAAAAAAACTAAGAGCTTATTTAAATCTAATATTGCAGTGAATTCGAGACTGTCAAAACTGTTGTACAAGGAATTAGAGTCTGATGGTTCCTGTATTCGATTCTTTGAATCGCGTGTACCCAGAAAAACACATGGAAACGATCCTGTACTTCCATTTCTTAGGAAAAAACGCACATGATAGAAATAAAACAATACAGCGAAATCGTCATGGAAAAAAAACAAACAAAATATTTTGTTTTTCCGCCTTTACTTCGCCGAGAGTTTGTAATGGTCCACTCTAAGTAGTATATAAAACACATCATGTTTTGAGTTATTTACATGACATGAACACAATTCGTGATCGAAACAAAATCCGGATAATATTATACACAAAAGAAAAGATTCCGAGGACACCTGACTCCAAACTAAATCCTTCAAAAAATCATATCGATGCAGGAACACAATTCGTGTCCGAAACAAAATCCGGATAATATTATACACAAAAGAAAGGACTCCGAGGACACCTGACTCCAAACTAAATCCTTCAAAAAATCATATCGATGCAGGAACACAATTCGTGTCCGAAACAAAATCCGGATAGATTATACACAAAAGAAAGGACTGCGAGGACACCAGACTCCAAACAATCCTTCAAAAAAAAAAATATATATATATCGATGCATGAATACAATTTTATTTCACAGCTCAGAGTCACAAATATCTCATGGCTAAATGGCAGTATCTACGATTGTCGTTGTTGTCATGTTGCCATCACATGTATCCTTGCAACGAACTTAAGAAATGAACCAGTCGGAGTAGATGGATTGTCGTAGAGATGTTTTCGCTTTGGTTTTGGTATGCCCCGACTTTAAAGGGTGTTCGTCGTCGCGCCACGCATGCGCGAGTTATGGGTCTCGTGTATTAGTGAAAAAAGATGGCGACATACGACGTAACGAAGCTTTATTTAGACATTTGTTTGGTTATTATCGAAGGAGTCACCGGCGGTAATCACAGCAAGTCGCGCCCAGGTCAAAACTCGTACCCGTGATTTCATTAGAAGAGCACATTGCATTGTGGGAAAATAAATGTGTATCAACACAAATGTCGCCCATGCGCAGCGCAATGATCACCGCCATTACAAAATAATAATAATTTCTGTAGTATGCAAGCCTGTTCGACAATAGTGTGTTTCAGAGAAATAAGTTTTGAAACTGGGTTTTTATTAAATTGTCCCCAGACTCTAGCACCCCCATATTTCAAATGGCTGAACCCGAAAGTTGACTAAAAGTTCAACCACCTGAATTTTGCACCAGTTTCGTGGACCCTCTCATAGGTTATAACGAAACAAGAGCATTGTCCGATAACAATGTGACGTTACTGCGGTATATATACTAGCATTATATAAGGGAAGGTAATTTTTTGAACAAGTGGTGTATGTAATATCATCTTCGTAATAAAATGAACTGTATCTATTTTTCTCTATGTAAGTCATATTTCTCATTTTTTTCTGACAATTATTTGATCGAATATTTGTTTCCTTGTTCAATTATTAACCACACCCACAGCAGTAAAAAATGCCCCCCCCCCATATACAGGCTTACTGAGTCCTCAAGGCTTTCCCATTCGCTTACGATGTACGCCCTCGTCAAATCAGCTTCGCACCCACCGGTGGTAATGGTTGTGTCTAAACTATTACGATTTAGTAACCTAAAATACGATTGGCTATTCAGTCGCGCCCCACAAATATTGTCCAATGATAGCCAAGGTTACGAATCGCATCGTGTTTCTGCCACGTATTTTCAATACACAGCTGAATTTGTAAATAGTCGTGTTCCACTGAATCACGCAGCAGTCATTACAGCAAGATGTGTGGTAAGTTTTACGAAGTTTCCTGAATTCCTGACCGACCAGCTTGCAATCGGATAGAAACTGTACATAATTGAACCCGATTGTTGTGTCTATGTTCGCGTATTTGCTCCAGCGCTGCTTGGTTTGGATAAAAACGGCGATCGTTGTGTACTGACAACTCGTGTTCCTTCTTGCATGTCTAGTGACTGAACCTCCGTCATTGACAAACTGAATGATTTTTAAAGCCGACGCCCTTGCTGCGAGGTCATTTGCTATGGTAGAATGCTCGATCGCATGTCACAGTTTCATTTTTATCATGTTCATTCTGTATATTGGTGAAAATACGAGGAAACTACGACGTGTCACTGACATCTCATTGAAAAGAAATGACAAAGATTGATCGAGTTGATAAAGTCGTGTTACTCTGAAATCGGATCGGAATGCGTTAAAAAAAACTATGACGATTTGCTCGTATTCTTCACTGTCAACGTGGCCAAGTTATTCATGGTTGCCTTGACAGTTTATTTTACGAGATGGGCTATGTGGCGAAGAGGATGATGAACCGTGTACTGTAGGGCTGTAGCGAGTGTGTGTTTGTTGTACTACGGGACACACGTTGCGTATTTCGGCAGATCTTGATAACTATGGTGCCGTGCAACCAACATATCCAATAAGTTTCCTGACCCCCCCTAAGTGTTGTAGCTGGGTATCCGGTGGAGATGGTTGATGTGGGAAATCAATCGTCAGTTATGTACCGGGATCAACTTAAGTTCTAGTGTTTAGATGGTTGCAGGTTTCCACAAATTACATTTGGGGCTTCACGTATTCCAAGGCTACCATCATGTCTGTTTTACCATAACGAGTTGTCATTGGTTTCTTGCCTGTTTGAAATGTTATTTTGCAATTTAAAAAAAAAATTGGAAACACCATTTCTCGTTTTGTGATTAGGAGAAGGTGTATTTGTTGAAATGATTATTTACTTTTAAGCTCATATAAATGTCAATAGTGTGAACACAATACATGCAACAGCTGATCATTTCTGTCAGCTTGTTCATTACATTGAGATAAAAGACAGATCCGTCTTTCACCTCTATGTTTAGTAGAAGCATGGATTTACGAACCACAATAAGAACAATAAATTTGTTTCCTTTGTAGTATGGTAATTGCCCAGTCAGGAATATTTATTTTGATCATTCATATTATCGCATTAAAAATAAGCTAATTAATGTTTATCTTTGACGTTTGGAGTTGATTAGGTGACATCTGTCACATTGGTCATAAACTGAGGTTTGCACTGTGAACACTACAGATGCAATAAAATGATAAAATGAATAAAGTGTGAATTGATGATAAGCAAAGATGCAGCATATAATTATTGCCTAATGTTGTCGTCAGTGGCTCTTATTTTTGCAATCATGGTTGCTACCATTCATTCATCTACAGTTGTCCGTGCATTGTGGCGACATGCACGCAGTTGGTTGGTGGGATGAGATGGACTACAGAGATTTCGGCACGATCGTTGGACCCCAATGTGTTTATATGGTCGGAGCTATGTCGGGCCCAATCCTATCAGTGCTCAACCCAGAGGAGCTGAACTTGGCTTGAGCTGTAGGGCTTTGATAAAATGCTGTCATGTGAATGCAGCAAATATGGCCATTGTGAAAGTATTATCAGGGCTACGCATCTCTTGTTTTTGTTTACGTCAATAAACACTAAACATGATTTGGATTAGACTAGTGATTAAACAATTAGAGACATATTTTAAATTTGTAACTAAATTATGGGCTAGTTTTATCAGTGATCTTCATGCATATCAACAGTACCGGTAAATCGAAAAGCGGTAGTGGTGCTGTGAAGAAAGTGGAGGAAAATAATCTTTTGTGTTGCCACTGTATGGTCGGGAGTCTGATTTGTAAATGGGGCGATAATAATCAAAATGACACATTTCCTATTATATTCACAGGAATATTTGCATATTTGAACTACCTGGTCCCCAAACAGCGCAAAGAAATCCTTGAAATTTTGATAAAAGGATTGAAAAGACTTGAATACAGGGGATATGATTCCGCAGGTAATTGGTTATTTGCCTTATTTCAATTTAAAGCATTAAAGTTGTTAAAATGAGCCACATGTGATGTTCACAACATGTGATGTTTGTGTAAACAATGTATTTTACATGTGGTGTGTACATCTCTAATTCAACAGCTCTTTAATAACTTTAACTGCTTCACTATTTTTTACAATTGTTGTTATACGTCATCCTTCAGGTTATCTTCGTAAGTTACACCATGCTATAATCTCAAGGAGAATATCTGCATCCCACCATATTAGGAAATGTTAATTTTGAATATAGAATGATTATGTTCTGTATCTAACCTTACAGTTATATGATTTGTCTTGTTTTGAGCTTTTTTACACCAATTGATTGGATAAGAAGATAAATAAGATTATTCAAAGGATTACCACTAGCAAAGTATGCACAATAGTAGTATGTGTACAGTTATCATACAGTACAGTTATCCGCTGATGCATAGCAAATGTTGATGCAATCCTCTACTGCCTGACTGCTGTATTTCAGTACTTGTGCATAATTTAGTGAGATAAAACGGCCAAAAATTATAACAAAATATATTGTTGACATTAAATGACGTGATTGTATTTAATTTGCTGAGAATGATTTATAAACCTTTTGATCAAAAACTAAAAGCAATATCTGAAACTGTCCAAAATGATAATGTAAATTTACTGAAAATTTTTCAAAATGTTGTAAATATTTGCACTGAAATTTGGACGAAAAAATTATCTGGAACTCAAAAAAATGAAAACAACGAGGTGTCATATAACTATTACTATTGTGGACAATTTAGATCCACTGCACGTTATTGGTATTTCGCTGAGCGGAAAGTGTCATCAAATAATGGAAAAATGAAAGAGAGCAAATAAATAAATGGTGTACCCATTTTTGTTTCATGGAAACACAAACTTTGTTATTTCCCCATATTATTAAACCTATTTAGGTGGCCATTTTGAATTGTATATCAGTGAAAATGTATACAGTAGAGGTTCAAGATTCAAAAGCTTGTTTGGTTACCCCAAGGTTTTTCTTTAGACTTTTCAAATAGGCAGTCAGTTGAATAACTTGTCACACTGTTAGGCATGTTCTCGATTTTGCAAAGTTTGCCAAAATAACGAAAGGTACTGTAAAAACTCTAAAACTTCACCTACTCTAAAAATTCAGCCACCTAATTATTTGGCGGGTTTTTGTAATTTATTGACCTCCAAAATTTCAACCTCACCAGAAATTGCTCATTTATTTTTACTCCAAAAATTTGTTAAGAGACGTGACTTTACTATGTTGACGCAGGAAAGTGTGTGCAATTTTGTTTGACATTTAATTTGCGATGCAACTGTATATAATCCAACTTTCACACTTTAAAATTTTTTTATTTTGTATTCTAAAAACCCAACCTTTTTCCAATGCAAATTATTTAAAAGTGATCTGAATTTTAGAGTTTTCACAGTGTTTCATGTAGGATTGTAAAACACAAAAAAACAGTTACTATGTCAAAAGTATGTTAGTATGTATCCATCATCAAAAAGCATTTTTTAGAGTTTCTACTATCATGGATGTAATCCCCATTTATATCTTATTGTTACAGGTGTTGCTATTGATGGAGACAACGAATTGGATTCCACGAAAGTGAATACTATTCGTATAATTAAAAAACGTGGCAAAGTGAAGGCATTAGATGAAGAAATATATGGTATTTATTTGAATTTTTTCTCTTGTATACCAGTAATAAATAATTTATTAGCTAACAATATAGGCCATAACAACGATGCTAATTATAAATATTCTTGATTACCTTGAATCACATACCGATATTTTCGCTGGGAATTTATTTTTGTTATTTTGCTGAAGGAAGGTTTCAGTGAGAATAAAATCCAGTGAATATATTTTTTCCCCTATATTTTACATTCAACTCATCAAAAATCAGTGAAATAAATTCCATACACAACACCTATAAAGCCTTTTCAGCGATAATTAATTCCAGCTAAAATAAAGTATTTTACAGTACCTAAATTTATAATTATAAAATTTTAAGATTTGTTGATGTTTTTGAACTTACATTTGATGTAACATTTACATTAACAGAAATTTGTTGATGTCAATGTGTTCAACACAGCACTTGACATAACACTAAAAATGTGGGCAACAGTTATTGTTGTGATGTGGCTGAACTCGTAACAGATGTTAGAATAAAATTTGTAAATCCCTTGGCAGCAGTAACAAATATTTATTGCTTGGGCAACTAATATTTATTCTGATCCTCTTTCATCTGATTACAACTTAAAATTCTTGTCCCCCCACATTCAAATAATTTCACTGTCATTATTTCAGCACAAGAAGATCTGAATCTGGATGTAGAGTATGACATGCACATTGGTATTGCTCATACTAGGTGGGCCACTCATGGTGTACCAAGTGCTCTTAACAGTCATCCACAGAGATCTGATGAGAACAATGGTGAGATACAATTTCTTTATCTGTCATTTTCAAATAACCATTTATTTAGTTATTCCACTATATTTAATCAGGATAATCCATTCATTTCCCTCAAAAAGGAGTTCTATGATTTCCAATGGAGTCCTGCATGAAATATACATGAAATATATACATTAACAAATTAAATTAAAATTAAGATTAAAATTAATAAAATAATTACATACAATTAAATACAAACATACTACTTTCTAAAATATCATCTCGTAATTTTATTTCAACAGGCAAACTATTCCATAATGAGATACCTCTATAGAAAAATGTATTTTTTCTTTTTTCTAATCGGACAAAAGGTAACATCAAATTATTATCAGCCACAGCTCTAGTAAAGCGAGTGGATTGTTTACGAATATATGATTCTTGGAATTTTGATGACAAATACAATGATGTTATAGTCTATATTAAGTAAATTTTTTTTCTTGTCAAATATTACAGTGTACTTGATCTCCAAGATCTCCAACACATCGGCTGCTGAAATTCTAAAAGGATAGCTGAAATAAATTTGTAAACAAATGGTGGCAGCATGTGATATGAGTGAATGCAACACACTGCAGAGAAAAATTTAAAAACTGTGGGTAATATTGTTCCTACCAAGCTGCTAGCTAATCCAATAAACCAAAGCGGCTGACACGTTATTATTTATTGTGTGGTATGTGATATAGGCTTGTGTGTGGTTATCACACTGGTGGATATGGTGGTGAAGTTGTTATCACACTGGTGGATATGGTGGTGAGGGTGTTATCACACTGGTGGATATGGTGGTGAGGGTGTTATCACACTGGTGGATATGGTGGTGAGGGTGTTATCACACTGGTGGATATGGTGGTGAGGGTGTTATCACACTGGTGGATATGGTGGTGAGGGTGTTATCACACTGGTGGATATGGTGGTGAGGGTGTTATCACACTGGTGGATATGGTGGTGAGGGTGTAATCACACTGGTGGATATGGTGGTGAGGGTGTTATCACACTGGTGGATATGGTGGTGAGGGTGTTATCACACTGGTGGATATGGTGGTGAGGGTTCCATGGTTGACATTTAACATATATGGAAAAGTGCAACAATTGCCGGTTACTTAGTCTTGCTGCTGCCACCTATATTTGATTTGCAAGATAATGTTCAAAATGGCCTTCTCGACACTGTGTTGGTATGGTATATAAATGGTATATATCAGTTTGAAAAAAAACATTTTTAAGAAAAACCCAGTGTAGATAAAAAGACATGTACTTTATCCAATTACTTGGCTCTAATTGGCATGAAATTAACACATGTATTTCAAAAGGATGGCACTGATAGTGTTTTGTGACCATCTGTTGCCCAGGGTTTGCCGTCGGTATCTTTAATACTGGAATAAAATAAAATAAGATAATTAAAAAAAGCTTTAATACAGAAGTAATTTAATAATTTAAGTGTATGCACATGATGACTCTAATTTTTATGCCATTCTAATACAGTTTAGGGTTTAGTTTTCACTAAAATAAAATATTTAGTTGGCCTTTTGATATTCATGTAGTTATGTTTTGATCTGTCAATATTATTCATATTTTTTTAGTATAAATTATACTTCATGTATAAAATCAGCAAATAATTAAAATTGTCAAAAACTGTTGATTGTGGCAGTGAAAATCCTCTTACTGGGGTAAGCCGTTCCATGTAACACGCTGAATCTGAAAGTCTGCACCTGGCAGTACGCTTTGGTGACAGGTGATGGAATGTTGGTTATTACAGAAATGTGCAAAACTGGTGTTTTGTATCAAAAGCGCTAATAGTGACAATCACCATTGAATTGATCACTATGTGTGTCATAACATTTTTTTCAAATTTTTTTTTCAGGTTTTTAGGAAAAAAATGAATTATTTCTTTTGAAATAGTTACAAAGAATTTTTTTTTTATTACAGAAAATACTAAACAACACTTTATTTTTGCTTGGAATTTATTTTCGCTATTTTCACTCAAGAGATAATTCAGTGAAAATAAAATTCAGCGAATATACATTTTTTCCTATATTTTACATTCAATTCATCAAGAATCAGTGAAAATAAACTCCATACAAATCATCCAAAAAGTCTTTTCAGCGAAAATTAATTCCAGCTAAAATAAAGTATTTTACAGTAGTTGAAGATATGTGACGAAAATTAATAATAATGAAACAAAAAATTGTAATATTTTTAATGCCAATAAATAATCTAAATATGTGTTTATGCTTTACAGAATTTGTTGTTATTCACAATGGTATTGTCACCAACTATAAAGATATTAAGAAATTCTTGGAAAGTAAAAACTATGAATTTGAATCCGAAACAGACACGGAGGTCATCGCCAAGCTGATCAAGTATCTGTACGACACTCATGAAACAAAAGATGTTACGTTTCGTGAACTGGTTGAGGATGTTGTTCAACAATTGGTAAGAAACGAGTAAACTCAAAACTACTTACCCCCTGGTATAAATAAACACAGTGCAAATGGTCATGGCTAACACACTTTTTTACCCTGCAATTACATGAAATCTTGCGCATATTTTTCTTGTTCATGGTTATTTATTGGTACAAAGGAAAAACTGATTAGTTTTTGAATTATGAAGTTGTATAAATTTTAACAAAGTTTCAATTCAAAATGGTGCTGGGGTAGGTTTTAGTGTATCAAAATGAGAAAATCATCATATCCATTCCAGGTTCAGGTATCGTTTCTTTTAATTATGAATAGTTATTCATTTGCATAACCTTTCACTCAGAAAATAACAATAATAATTCATGGCTTGATACGAATTAGTGAAAAGTAATTGTTGGTATTCCATATACAAAATTTGTAGTCCGAACTAAGCAAAGCAAAAATTCATAAACCCACCAACAAAGACTTCATAACAAAATGATTTAAATATCATGATGAATGCTCACCTTTATCTGTAGACACTGGTTGTGATCCAGGAATTACTGCTCGATTTAGATTCAAATATGATTAAAATCTAGCGACTTGATTATTATAGCATTTATATCGAATGAAATGTCGACGAAGCAAGAATATATCGAAATGTCATGAAGTAAGGTTTTTTATGCTGACCAGCTGCATATAGCTCGTTATCACCAGTATGTACAAACATATAATCTTCTTAATAAATTGTAGGAAGTGTGATAAATTCTTGTATCGACATAGTATGCCATCTGAGTGTAGAAAATGCAATTGGTTAATTTTGCTGGTACGTGTTAATTTGGGAGGAAAAGAAAAATGACAAATGAACAGTTTATTAAAAGCATATAAATGTACATACAATACTGTAATTCATGAAAGGGACGTACCGGTACATGTAGAGACTAATAATCTATTCTAGGAAACTTTTCCCAAATACCATGTGTACATTTTTAACTGTAACTGCGCATTGTTTAATTTTTATAATATTTAATGCTAAATAGTACCACTTTGTTTCAAAATATGCCAGTAAAGTATAAGGCTGTTTACCTATTGTATAGTGTTTTTGTCCCTCAAGGTAAATTTATTGCATTGTGATCATTATAAATAAGTATTGTCAGGTTTCATTTGACCTCAAATCTCTATGGCATCTATGACGTGTCATGTGCGCTATGGGGGTCTGCGCTGTGGGTCCCATGTGATGTATACAACATGTGTAAAATATGCAATTTGAATGCATGGTGTACAACGACCATCATCTCTTATGAATTTCAACCTGTACAAATTGTTTAATATCAACTTGTCCATTCCAAAGTTTGTCAAATATTTGTACTATGGATCACACCTTCAATATAATACTGATAAATACTCAGCTTTGTGTGCTCATTTTGGGTTTTTAAATTTGAGTCAGCGTCGTTTATTCTTAGGTATGTTATTTTTATACAAATGCGCTAACAGCTTATACGACTCATCTAGTATTTTATCAGTGTTAAATTTTTATGTCCCAAATCGTAGTTTACGTTTTACACCTCTATTTTGTCTATCGCGCTGTTGTATTGATATTTTTAAATATTCTCCACTTGTGAGATGCATGAGCAATTTCAATAATTTATTGCGGAATGTTTCAGAACTTGATATTTTTAGTAATTTGAGTCGTTTCAAATCTAAGGTACATCAGTTTAATTCTTAAAGTTAAATTCAGATATTTTAAATGTATATGTTTTTTATCGTATATGTTATTTATTGTATTTTGATGTATGTGTGAGTGAGGAGCCTGTAAATGGGACTTGTGTGCCTGTAGGTCTTTTCAAATAAATAAATAAATAAATAAATATGTTAATTTCATTTAATTGTTAAATTTTGCCATGAAACGTATTAAACACATTCTGCTTTGGCTCTCTAATACAAATTTATTCACTGCCTGAAACGTTTCCTCATTTTTTAGTATTTTTTTTTATTTATTGCCACATGAACATAAACAAATTGATTATCACATAAACTTTTATTATCACCCCCAAGGAAGGAGCCTTTGCATTGGTCTTCAAGAGTGTTCATTTCCCTGGAGAAGCAGTAGCCACCAGACGAGGCAGTCCACTGTTAGTTGGGATTGCTGCCAAGAATAAATTCAGCACTGATCATATACCAATTTCTTACCGTGACAACCGAGGTATGTATGTAACTAGGTGGATTTAAAAGTTAATAATAATAGTCATATACGTGTGTTTGATGTCTATAATTTAGGCTGTTGCAATTTAACATTCAAAATGCAACCAATTTATCATAAAATCGTGCTTTCATGTCCATTACTGAATGCTGCTGGTTGTGTTCACTTTATCATCATATATGGAAGTTTAGGAAGTCCATAGCAATGAAATCAAATCAAATCAAACTCCCCCCATCACTTTCACATCATTCAATCATTCAGACTATCAAGCACAGTTTGGATGTAAAAATTACAGCGGTAATTTTGTCCATTGGTGGATATTGACGTATTTTCCCACATACATTATGTGCGTATATTCAGACCATCAAACCGAGTTTCAACTATGAGCTCACTGATATGGAACCTGAACTCAATGAGTGTTTGGTAATATGGTACACATCATACATAGTTAGTATTGCTAATATAGGAAGTACTCCATTAACGAAAACTATTCGAGACTAATTCCTGCATTGTTACAGAATTGTTCTGGGGAGGGGGGGGGGGGTCGTTTCAATATTTGTTTAATTCTGCTGGAATTGCATAAGATAGAGAATGAAATAATATTTTACTGAATAATAATCTGTATTATTCTCGCATATGTGCACATTTGTCTCTGATTACCAAACAAAACTATAATCTGCCAGTCAATAACAATAAATGACTTATTAAAAAAAACCTAAACATGAGAAGTTGGGGAAGATTGTCAGGACAAGCGTTGAGGAATCCT